GAAATGACACACAGCAGCATCTCCAGGCAGAGGGAAGACAAAAACGGCCTCTAGTGGTTTGTCCTCCTTGTTCTCGTACTTCAGAGTGGAGACCACTGTAGCTACATGATCCCTCACCTCCAGCTGAACATCAATGCTCTTCAGAGGAACTGGATCAGGAAAATAATCAAAACAAACACATAAAACAAAAATACAATGCAAACGAAATAATGCTTCTTTAGTATTGTTTTCATTAGTTTTTGACATAAATCAGGGATTGGCAACTGACGGCCGACATCGGCGGCAACCCACAAATTGAAACACATGAAATCACTGAAATACAGTTCTTATAAATTTGATAATCCTCGAGGTGATGAATGAWCTTGAATAAGCAGAGAACAGTGGATTTTAATTTTGACTCCAGTTGAACCTGAGGATTTTGAAACATCATCTGCTGAGAACGAGGACAGCTAAGCTTTTGAGATGCCTCCTTTCTTTTCCAAAGAGGATTTCTGCCAGCTTCTCAAGAAGGTGATGGTGTTGGAGCTACTTTTAGACCTTTGTGAATATGAATTGRATTCTCGTACATTTTTTTCCTCCAAGTTTGGCAAAGTGGAGGAGCGACCACAGAAATAGCTCTCAATGGTTCTAATTCATATATTTCATTTGTCATTGTTTTAATTTGCTGTGTGAACTTGTTATGTTGCGGTAGAAAGACTGGATAACAGGCTGACATTCACAGGTGTGAACAGGTGAGCTGAGCGTCCGCAGGAAGCAAAGATGGACGTAGTGACAGAAATAATCAACAACTAATCAAAAAATAATTGCAGATTAGTTGACTTTTAGCAGGCACACCTGCACACCATGTTCCAAGTCAATGAAATCCTCTTTCCTTCCACGATGCAGTGTTTGAACTTCTGTAGGTTGTTTTCACCACATCTAAGTGTTAAAACACTTAGTTGTTTTCATATCAGCAGTTGAACTAATGTAGCTAAGTGACCAMTGAGTTTAGACATTTATTGGTCAGGGTTAGGCTTAAGAAACGACCAGTAAATAAATGGAAGTCAATGGAAAGTCCCAACAACGATAGAGAAACATAATGTGTGTGTGTGTGTGTGTGTGTGTGTGTGTGTGTGTGTGTGTGTGTGTGTGTGTGTGT